GAGAGAGAGAGAAAAACAGAAATTTGCCACATGCTCTACTTTTTCGAACTTTAAAAAAAAAAAAATTTATCCACCAAAAAAACCTATATATATATATCCCTCTTTTCAATTCTACTTAATCAAATCTGAATTATAATTTGCAAAATACCAAAAACCTAACGTGGTTCTGATACCACTCGTATCTATTCGAAACCCCGATCTACATTGATCTGATTCCGATTCAAGATCCTACCACCTCAGATTCAAAATCCTAACATAGCTCTGATACCACTTGTTGTGATCGTAACTTCGAATCTTCACACCTCGTGAATTACTGGTTACAAGACCAGTGAAACCTTCTTCTGCAGCAACAGGTAAAGCAATCTCACAGCTTGAAGTTGCTGACTTTACTCGACAAAACGTAGCCACACCTACGAATTCAACAACAACAACACAAAAAACTCTTAAAATTTCACTCAAAAATCCATTGAAAAGACAAGAAAAAGCTTGATGCTTTACCAGAATACCCAGTACGACCTTTCTCACAAGTACGAGTACACGAGAAAAACGATTCATACCCATCAGCTATCGTCAAATCAGCAGTCAATTCTTGCCTTCTAAGCTTCGTTTCCTATATTCAAAACCATTACGGATTCATCGAAATCGATTGAAATTTCTCGAATGTGACATTGAAAGTAAGGAAAAACCTGGAAGCAAATGATATCAGCGTCGAACGAATCAAGGAGTTTGATAAGAGAATCAAACTGTGAAACTCGTTGCTTAAGGCCATTAACGTTGTAAGTCACTAACTTCATCTTCTTTCTTCTTCCACCAAAGTTCGACACAATAAAGAAAGATCGTTCCTTTTTTAGGTACAAAAACTGGAAAACTGACATTGGATGGTTGAGATCTGAGAGAATCAAAGTCAGTAGAATCTACGGTTGATAGAGTGTACACGTGGATTTAGTGTACTGTAATCGGACTGTAGTGAAACATTATCTCTAACAGTGGTGGCGCGTGGGGAGCACAAGTTATTGATATGCCTCCTCGGCGTCCACCACCATTATCGCCGGAGTTTTTTTATATATAACTCACGAAGAAGAAGAAGAAACCAACTCATACTTGTTCTCTCTTTCTCTCTATAAAGAAACAGTTTTTTGTTGAGTTTTTTAACGTTGCAATGGATCAATCCAAGAAACCGAAAACTTGCTCTGAATCCGA